AACACCCAAGTGAACAAGGGGACAGAAAGAGAATGATTACCAGACCAGTAACACACATGTTTTGGGCATGAGGTGACAGGACAGAAACACCACTGCTATTAGGCTGCAGCTGTGTAAGTAGAGTGACAAAGGTGGTGCATCTTTATCAGAGCTCAGCGGCAACTGCACTAAGAAAACAGGAGTCAGCAGCACGGCCAGAGCACAGCCCTCACCCGCTCCCAGGGGCACGGCAGCTCACACAGGGAAGTTCAACCAAGGGCCTTTTTAATGGATGTTTGTAGGGACACACCACACGCAGGTTGTTTGCTCATACACATATATCCTTCTCTGCACCCTTCAGCCTTTTCCAGTCTGCCTGTTCTGTGCCCTCAGACCCTGCGACTGCTGCCACAGTGAGCCAGGCCTTGCCAAAACAGCTGCTTTTACTAGAACTACAATCAACACTGGGTACGGCACCCATCCACGAAACCCACACTGCACCGAGGAACATGGGCTCTGGGCACAGGACAGGCCACGCTCCTCCAGTGGAGTGGAACTGGCTCAGTTATTTGGCCAAGCTGCTGCCGCTGCCATGAGCCTCTGGGTCAGTGCAGGTAGCCCAGTGCTTCACGGTGCTTTGGCACACTTGGTTTTGCCCCCAGAGTTCCCCCCAGGGCTGCCTCAGTCACCCACCAGCACCCAGCAAGACTCCACACAGCACAGAGGGTCCCGGGAAAGGTGGCGGAGGGGGAAAGTCCAGTGTTGTGATGGAAAAGCTTCCCAGCACCAAGACCTGAAACGCAGCCTTGCCGGGACTGGGGGCAGGAGTGTTAGTCTTCAGCCAGCGGAGGGGGGGCCAGATGGAGCTGGAAGTTCTCGTTCTGGAAGACACTGCTGGTGGTTGGGTCACCGTGGGAAACGCTGAGCAGCCCGTGCTTCTCACTGCTGTGGCCACGGGACAGCTCTGTCAGGAGAGCCAGCTGCAAGACAAAACCCAGAGACATCACCCACCGCCCGGCAGCACTGGTGCAACTGGGAACCTTGACATGTGTAATGAGAAGGGTGTAGGGTATGTACGGTGTGTAGTAACCCCACAGAGCTCCGTGCAGGACAACTTTAAAACAGCCTTCAGGTCAGGTTGTTTTAATGTTACCTAATTGTAAACAAACGCAAAAAGAGCTGAAAGTACCAACAGCTGCAGCCACAATGGAAAATGCAGGGGGCAGAGGGAGCTGCACTTCCCTTGGGACAACACGGGGTGGGGCGGGAGGAGGGAACCTTCTGAATGATGGAAGCAGCCAGTGTCTGGAGGGGAGGTTATTTGCAAATCCAAGGGGATTTGAGAAACTTCACACCATTTGTCAGGCCCAGCCCCAAAGCCCGAGGCACTTCCACGGCTTCAGCACCAGTGAATTCCCCAGCTCTGTCAG